ATCTGAAGATTCTTCCTGACTGGGGCCAGGACCAGAAGGCTGGCAAGATTGAATGTTAATTCAAATGTTTTCCTCCCTGACACCTTGTCTATGCAGGAGAACTTCTCTCCTTGGAACACAGATATCCACAAACAGGGCATTCTACTAAATGCTTCCCAACCTTCCTTACAGTTTATATTTCGAGTGCCATTTGATTGACATCAGTGTTTTCCCATCCATAGTAATAGCATGCCGATAAGTGCTCCATCGTTCTTGCTCATCACTCTGTCCTCTCGTTGTGGGTCTGTGTTACAATTAGGATTGTCAGATCTAATAAAAAAAGAGTACTCTATAGCCAATTAAATTTGAAATTCACATAAATGTAATAATAAATAATTTAAAAATTTTCTGCGTGGCACTAGAGACATAGGCTAAAATTATTGGCTGTTTATATGAAGTTCAAAAAACTGTTCCTCCCACATTTATGTGGCAGCTGAAATTATAGCTCAGTTCTGAGGTTCAGTAGTTATGCACACTAATGAAGGAAAGGGTGTGGCTGATGCATGACAAAACCCAGAACTATTAAGTGAACATTTTGCCAAAAAGCACATATGGACATATTAAGTATGGTTGTTTCAGGAGGTTAAGACTTTTCATTTGTCTATGGGATTCGTCTTCTGTTTTAAAAATTGGTGGCAATAAGAAGAAAAGTTTTCAAGCATATATGTATATATATTTATGTATATACATATACATGCACACATATACATCTGTACATTCATACTTCTTAATGTTAAAGCAAACAGTGTTTAAGTGAAATTTGGTTATTTTTCTCAGTTTGAAAAGTGAAGTTCTCTGATTACAACCTTAGAGGCTAGGTGCATCTTAAGGAGATTATTCAATGCAATAATAGGTAAAGAAAGCAAATTAGAAAAACAGTATGCAAAATGGGCCAGATTTTTGGGAGGGGTTCCATAGTTTTATAACTTATCCAATGCTTCTTAACAAAATTAGCCTCCAAAGCTTGGGAGATGTCAAAGTAAATCTAATATTTAAGCCAGGACATAAATCAGAGTTATATATAATATTTTGGGGAATACTTAATTAACTTGTGTTTGATTTGCAGAATGAGGGTGGAAAATCTACTCTAATAAGGAATGAATTAAAGACTCTTCCCATGATGCTTTGGAACCAAGCATCCACACTGGACTGTTTGTGACTGGTTTGTTTAGAATATTATACCTGCATGGAGCAAGGAAAAAAAAAAAAAACTGTTAACAAATGCTTGCTGGGTAACCCTTTTCATCTGTTAAAACAACCTAAGTTATTCATTGTAGCCTTTTCTTCTGACAATGTGACTTAAAAATGACAGACTCAGAGGCTTAGCACCATGCTTATTTTTTTGTAAAAAATTTACTTAAAACCACTATACCTTGTTATGACAGAAAGCACTGCAGAGAGAAAGAGTAAATAAAGTGTTAAGGAGCTGTGGGGAGTAGGACAAAAGTACTCACGGAAAGGGGCACAGGGTGATATGAAGGTAGAAAAGACAGTACTAGGAGTAGGGAGGTTTGAGTGGGGAAAGAAATTAGGAAGCCATGGCGGAGGACGTTTGTAGAGGAATAGCCAAGGCTGGGGGAGGGGTGCAAAAGCCATAGGGAAACGTATCTTACAAGCTCATTAAAAATACTGTTTCGAATAACTGTGTTTAAACGAAGGCGTGCCACACAGGGTAATAATGCTTTTTTCAGAAGCCCTAAATCGTCAAACAAAACTCTGGAGTCCTGGGTATGGAATTCCTCCTTATATGTTGCTGAACAGGGAGGTGCCATAGATACCCAAAACAATACAGTCTGCTGCTGCTGTCCTGGGTCCCCACTAGAGCTTGATGTTGAGACACTACTGCTGAAGACACCACTCACATTGGTCTCGGGATTGGGAACATTAAGCTGAAACTGCTCTGGAAGCTTCCTCCCTGGTGGTTAGCTTCAATACTGCTGGAAGGTGCTATGACAGCCCCCCGAGGAAGAAGAGTCACCTGCAGTCTTACCCAGCTCTAAACAACTTGAGCTACAGCAACACTCCACCTGCTAGGATATGCCCATTGCTGCAATAGGAGCATAAATGTGATGGGGTAACCAAGAGCTTTCTAACTGGATTCTACGCCTGCTCTGCCAAGGAGAAATTACGCCGGGTACAATAAACCTGACTGAGATCTGGTGACTGGCGAAACCACTGGCCCTAGAAAACGCGTTCCTAAAGAGATATGTGGTCCCGTGACCTTCTAAATACTCATATTTATATCCACAGATTAGTGCTTCTCTGGGTCCTTATCAGATAGGATTCTTCGTACAGCGCTCAGTGGTTAATGAGGAGACTGTCACTGGTCGAAATGTCCAGAGTAAGAAACTTCAGAATGTGCTTATGAATTCATTTCAGCTGTGTTTATCTGGACAAGCCCGTCAACATATCATCGTGAGTCCCCACTTCTCCCAAAGAGACGATAGACAGTTAATGGCACCTTGGGAAAGTGATATCACTGTTTTTTTCATGGTGTAGACACTGATAAGTTGTCTAGGTACCTTTAAGCAACCTTCCACCTATGCTCTTACAAGCAGCTCTCTTTAAGCTCCATGGGCCACAAACATTCAAAGGAGATATGAAAATCAGAAAAGAAACATCTCAGCGAGAGAACGAGGAGGAATGAGAGAAAGCAATGGAGAATGAAAGGATGGAAATTCACACACACACACCCCTGATGTCAATGAATAAAACATAATTTAAAAAGCGGTCACTGCTTTACTTTTAGGAATGCCCCTCCTCCATGAGGTGTGTTCTGCTCTGTGTATGGAGCTCAAATGACCCCTTCACCATGGTCACATAGGACATATCCTGCCTATCAGATATTTACAATATGTTCATAAAAGTAGCAAAATTGCAGTTATGAAGTAGCAACAGAATGATTTTATGGTTAAGGGGTCACTGCAGCATGAAGATCTGTATTAAAGAATTGTGGCATCAGGAAGGTTGAGAACCATGGTTAAACCATGTCTGTCACACTATGGACAGCTCTGCACATACAACAAAAAGAATGTGGTCTGGAATAACAGAATTTCTAAACGTTTTATGTTTCTTACATCCCCGGGCCTAGGTTTTGATGCGTGTACTCACAAAGAGAGGAGAGTGAAAGCACAGAAGAGGAAAACTCTAGGTGTGTCCTCACAAGAAGTTCTTGGCTCTAAAAAGGGAAAACGAGTTGGCTGAGCTTTTTAAGGAGGAAAAATACGACTTTGAACAAAGGGAGGCTGTGAAGTGACAGCACCTTGTCATTTCCAGGGTGGAAGAGAACACAGGATATGATGATTGCTAAGCAAGAGAAAGCTGCTGCATCCATTTTAGCATCTTACATGGCAGCGTTCTGAATAGGCCACTCTAAAATACTGATTAAGAAATACACTGAGGCTGTACCAAAATTAGACTCTTAGGAGGTCTGAGTAGTGCACAAATTATAATAGATCTATTTCTAAGTCACACAGAACCATCTTCTTTTCAACTGAGAAGCATCTAACAGATTGCGGAAGAAGTGGACTGTGTTACTCAGAGTCCATGGACGGAGGCAGGCTTTATGCACCAATGCCTGCAAAAGGATGGCCTCAAACACAGAGCAAAATCACAATTATTTTTCCATTAGCATTCTCTGGATAAAGACTTTCAGTTTTTTTTTGCTCCTGCTGGCAAGTAAGAACTGCTTGGCATGCATATTTAAATAACAGTCATACTGAATTAACTTTAAGATCTGGCTCTTAACATAATAGGTGCATTAAAATGTACAGCAAAATGAGAAAGATAAGGATCTCAATGCACAAAAAAAGTACTGGAGTAATAAACAGTGTCTTCTAAGCCTGGGATTATGGTAATGGATTTGAGACTGAGTCTCAAATCTCAAAACTAAGGGGTAGCCACTAATGGGTTAAGCCCATTTAAACCTATTGGCTGAGGACGACAGCACCTGACTTTACCAAATCACCAGTAATATGTAATAAGATAATAAAATCGATAGCTATTTCCAAAGTAGCTTAAATAAATCAACCTGTTACCGATTATCTTAAAAAGAAAGTGTCTTCTATGAGCCCTGAAGATAAACCTTATATTAACCGAGAGCCAATACTTGGCATTCAAGATTCCTGCCACTTATTTCATCAGAAAAATACCTGTCTCTGATTAGAGATAACACAACTGAGGGTATGTCTTATTGGTCCATGTAAATAAAATTCCTTAACAAATACTAACCTCACCGGCAAGGGGAATATTTATTTCTGATAACGAGAAAACAAACAAACAAACAAACAAACAACCACTTTTTGAGTTGATATGACTCAGTGTATAAAGTGCTTGTTGCACAAGCTTGAGAGTGGAAATTTGGAGTCCTATAACCATGGAAAGGTGGGTGTAGCTTCACACATCTGTAACCCCAGCACATCAGACAGGAGGCAGTTGCAGGAGAATCCCGAGAAGCCTGTCGGCCAGCGAGCCCGCTGTACACAACAGTAAACAACAAAAAGGTCCTAGTTCAGACAAGGTGGAAGGAGAGGACAAAGGTTGTCCTTTCACCTACACCCTAGTACAATTGCACACATACCCACACTCACTCTCATAGGCACATACGAACTTAACACCACACATGCGTGTGCACACACACAAGCACAGATACACACAAAAACACATACATCACACACACATAAAAAAAATAAAAATAAAAATAAAAACGTTTTGGTGGAATGCCCGACTGTTGTATGTAAATTCCTGCGTTTGATCCCCAGCACAATGAAACAAAACTTTTTTTTTTTTTTTTTTTTTTTTTTTTTTTTTTTTTTACTCACTTTAACGCCAAAGTTATGTACATCCCATTAGGGGAAACCCTAATAAGGATTGAGGGATGCACATCAAGTAACCGTGACGCAATCCTGGGCAGTGTTTGCAGATGGAAGTGTCCGCTCAGAGCTGCAGCCAAAAGCACTTACCACAGATTCACCAGAAAAGGGTGCTCCAGGCCCTGCATGATCTGGAGCTCCTTGAAGACGTTCCTCACTTCGTTGCGCTCCACACACTTCTGCTTATTCATGTACTTCATGGCGTACATCTTCTTCGTGTCGTTCTTCTGCACGATGCAGACCTGACGGTGTGAACGCAGGCCAGTGGTTAGGGAAGAGGGAGCGTGTGGCTGAGGGACAGGCAGGACTTGTCCTCCAGCATGGCACAGAGGCCGTGGCATTCTCTGCTATTGAAGCTCTTATTTCACTGAGGATAAAAATGTTGCTTTCTCCCCCTGCCCGTGTATTTATTACATGAATAACGGAACCTCTTCTTTCTCATACTAGTTTGCCTGCTTTTGCTCCTGGGATCTTCATGACACCAGCTTCCATGTTAAAAACCCCCTGATAACCAATAACATCCTTGGTGGCTAGAATGGACGTGACTAGGAGGGTAGAAACACTAAGTTTCTTTTCCCAGCATGGAAAAGACTAAGCACGAGGAAGCAGCTACACAACTGTCCGTGTTTTCTAATTCTTTTAGGGGCCCATGTAATAGCCATGAAAATAAAACGCAAATTTAATATAAAATCATTATTTCATTTTAAAAGTATGTCTCCACAGAGAAACTATTAATAGAATCTGAAGACAAAAGATTCTTACAGAAAGCTGGGCTATGTCTATTTTCCATGGTAGTGTCTTGAAAATGGCAAATTGGGGAAAATACAGAAATTAAGTGGCTTCTTTTCTCCATGAAAAAAATCAAGGCTCGTATTAATAAGATAACTCTTACTGGGGAAGTTTCGAAAGAATCTGAAATCTTAACCTTCTTTAGGGTAAAGAGCTAGTTTCCAGTTGTCGACACAGTAGGCAGATTTGACTTGAACAAGACAGTCTTGAACAGCACGTGGCTCATCTTGTAGGAGACTTTCATTAGATGCTGGTGACAATTGTGGAAACGTGCGTTCTAAAGCCTTTCTGAGTTACCTATCTTTATAACCCCAGCCCCTCAACAAGCACACTTTTCTCCCACTCTCTCTCCATGCTCACATCTCTGCTGGTTGTGGGACAGTTCAGTTCTTACCTTCCCAAAACTGCCCTTTCCAATGGCTCGCAAAATTTCAAAGTGGTCAAAGTTGACTGCAAAGAGAACGAAGAATATATGGAATTATTATAAATTACTTTTTAGCAGCTAATTGAAGAAACAAGCGTTTCTTGTTTAAAATGACACACCAAACTATGTTAAAATACTAATTTATTCATAGGAAAGGATTTAGTGGCCACTGATCCCATGTAACCATAGAGCTTGAATAGTATTAAGAGAGGGCAAACACAACGTCTATGTGAGGTCTGTAGTCTGGTGATATCTTTTAAAGGAAGAGGTGCTTTGAGATTAAATGCTCATAATAAGAAATGGAAACTTGAAAGTGCACTGAGTCCTAGGAAGAACAGAGGCAGAGGGCGGCGTCTAAAAACGCAGCACACTGATTTGCCTGTAGACACTCAGGGAGAAGGGGCTGCGTAGAGGGACACGTGACTTCCTGTAACGCGGTTGCGCTTCCAGCTTTTTCTCTGCCTGCCTGTTTTGTCTCTGTTTCACTCTCCTGTACCTAAATGATTTCCATTTCCCCGTGCTGTAAAATGTTGCAGCCATAAATTACTAGCATGAACTTATCTATCCAGGTCACACGCGGCGTTGTGTACATAAATCCACTGAAGTAGGATTTGAATATGAGATGATCTGCGCATGCTCTTTGGCCCTACCGTGTCTCACTACCAGAAGAGATATACCCAGTATAAGCACACATGTTCTTTCGAGTTTAATTTAATAAGATAATTCTTGATAAAAAACAAACTTCAAATAACCTCTGGCAGATGACAGTCTGAAGACCTTGAGAAAAAGTATTTCCTGGTTTTGAAATAAGGATTTAGGCGTGCAAATTCTAAATGAGGGATGTAAAGACCTGCCCAAGGAAATACCGTGAAACACTGGAAAGTATCTCTCATTTCTTTGAAAAAATAATGCATTCAGTTACTTATGGAGCGGGGAAGGTATAATATTAGAGTGCACGCGTGCGTGTGAGGGGCCAGATTTGAGGTCGCAGTTCTCTCTTTCTAGTGTGATCCAGGGACCCAACTCATTTTCTCAGTCTGGTAGGAAGCACTCTTAGCTCCCGAGCAGTCGTGCAACCTTCTCTCAACCCTTGAAGACCTATTTTCTGTCTTTATCAACAATTAACTCATCTCCCCATGAAGGGGGAGAAAGAGAGAGAGATGGTCTAGGCCTCATGAAGGTCTCTGGGATTTCTGAAGTTCAAACACTTTTATAATAACTTTATCATCACTCCCTTTCCAATTTTTCTTTTATTTTTTTTCTAGCACAAAATCCATTTAATCACACGAAATCACGTGTCTTACAAACGGCTTGTCCTAGAGTAGGATCCCAAATAATAGTGTAATTTGAAAAATAGCCTCAGTTTCTCCATATGCTCTCCTGTAAAAACATCTCCTAAATGAGAACACCTGTACAGAGAAGGCGCTCATCAAGCTGTTTCCTTCCTGAAGTGAGTGACTCATCTTCTGCAGCATGTGCTCCAGGACAGACAGCTGCATGTCATTTTGTTCACACTGGTATCTCTGCAGCCTTAGACTGTTACCCACAGAGGCAGGTGAAACTGTAGCTCTCTGGAGTCCCAGCAGAGTCTAGGACAGTGATTTACACAAGTTTGCCTCCCAGCAAATAAATCAAACTAAGCTATGGGAACGTTCAAGAACTCCCAAACAACTGAGTCCTACAAACAAGAACAATGTGAGCCTTTGGGCCATCCCAGGGAACTTTTCCTTAACTGTGAGTGAAACCCCATTAATAAGTTAAGAAACATGTTTGGCATTCAAAAGAAACATTACGTTTTTAAATGGAATAGAATAGAAAGTACCAGAAACTACTCAGATGGGATTCGAGTACAATATCGCCGCTGAAATGTTTACTTTATACGTGTGGGTAGAAATTCGGTTTTTGGTGCATGCCTTACCTTGAGCTGTCATGAAAATAATTAGCAAAATGCTTTTATACATTTTTTTTCTCGAATTACATATTGACATGACCAAACCAAGACTTTTTACACTCAATACACGAATCTCAGGAATACATTAATTACCATGGCCACATTAAAAGAAACTAGCCAGGATTTATTTGCAAAGCAAAGATTCTATATTGAGCAAATCCAGTAGCCCACTATGGCCTTCCCACTCACAGCCTCACCCAGAAGGCTACATCTCTCATCTCCAAGCGTGCACCATGTACCTAGGATGCATGTAGTCTTACTGTGACATTAATCTATTTCAGGAGCCATTTCTTCTTTTCTAAATAATTTTAAGCATTAACAAAAAAGTAAATAATAATAATAATTACATGACAAGGTTCCTGAAAACTGTACATTGGCAAAACTGCCTAATTTAATGTGTCTTTTCAAATGTCAGGTCTCAGAAAAGTCTGAGAAAGAAAAAAAAAACCTTTATTGTAGAAAATGCATATTCTGTGTCATCAGTGAAAGGAAGAAGAGACTCCACACTGGTGTCAGAACACCTCAGGTCCCTCCCACCTGGAATACAGCCTGGGGAGAAAAGCAATGGCTGACTGGGAGGGCTGCAGAGGTGGGCCAGTGGTGAAGAGCACTGGCTGCTCTTCCGGGCCACCCAGGTTTAGTTCCTAGCAATCATATGGTGGCTGACAACCGTCTGTAACTCCATGTGCAGGGGATCTGATACCGTCTTCTGGCCTCTGTGGACACCATGCATCGATGTGGTACACGGGCAAACACTCACACACAGTTTTTAAATGTTTTAAGTGACTGCAAAACAAGCTTTAAAACTACTCCTCTAGCACTCTCTCTGCATGCCTAACAACACAGTCACCTATAAGTAGGAAAGCTAATCTAAAAATACAACCAACCCTTATCCACTAAAACAGTACCATAAAAGACAAATTCAGAATTGTAGTTTGTGAACAGAAATCCCACAGTGTTTTATAGAAATATAGTGTTTGCCTTTCCGATTATGGACCCAGGCTCTTAATCACTGTCTTCCCAGTTGTCATTATGTTTTTACACATCTACCCACACCAACTGGGGACCCAGGAAAAGCAACATGGAGTTTTCCCCCTCATTCAGAATTGGTTTTGAATAAAATTATGCTCCCCGAGCCTTTCTCTAAATAGAACCTTGCTGATTTTAAGACACACTGCTGATGATGTGATCACTTTCCTTACTTCCCTTACCCAACCCCCTAATCTCAACATTTTAAGAAACTAAAATTATTGAAGGAAGAAAAGGGAACCACCTACTTTCAGAATTTGAAATCATACCATGACAGTAGGGCTGGGCAGAAGGACATTCTAAAAAGTGAAGCGATGCATCTCCTTTATTCTATTTTGAGATAACAATATTTGAAAACCTTGATTCCAGCCTTCGGAAGCAGCAAATAGTGAACATATGTGAGTCTATTGAGAACCAAGTCCCACAAACTGCTTATGTAAATCTTCCTATTGATGATGGAACAAGGACACCAGCTGTGTGACCCTGGACAAGTTACTCAGTCTTTCCAAATCACAATGTCCCATCTGTAAAATGGAGCTCATTAAACCAAACAGGCACGAAGCTTCCAAGATGAGACACTGTAAGCCAGAAGTGTAGAGTCTGGATCACTGAAATCTGAAAATGACAATCACTTTTAAAAGTTCAGTTGCTCAATGGAAACTGAGCCTTATTTTCAAAGTTTCAATTCTGTTCCCATAATGCAACCATTGTTACAGATGCTGAGATGTCCTTGAAGGGTTTATCTTGGTGGTGCATGTGGTTTCCTTTCTGGCAACAGGACAGCATGCTATCACTGCAACAGGAGGAGATTTTCTAGTAACTCCACCGTGTCTGCCCATTACAGAGATCTAACTATGTTATCAGCTCGTTTGTCTTCCACTGTCTCAAAAATACTCAATAAATTGATTAATATTGAAAGATTTAATTACCCATTAACAATAGATTATTAACAATAACAATACTCCAGATATCCTTGATGGTCTTTTGCGTATATGATTCTAAGCTTAATTAATGGGAAAAGAACTGTTGTCCAAAATGGATGCCACCTTTCTAATGTGAAGATATTGTCAGTAGCCCTTCAAAGAGACTTCACCAACTCTGTTTGATATCAGTGACATACAGGAGTGTCTTACTTAGGGTTACTAATGCTGTGATGAAACACCATGACCAAAAGTAACATAGGGAGAAAAGGGTTTATTTGGTTTACACTTCCACATCACTGTTCAACATCAAAGGAAGTCAGGACAGAAACTCAAACAAGGCAGGAACCTGGATGCAGGAGCTGATCCAGAGGCCATGGAGGGTGCTGCTTCCTGGCTTGCTCTCCTTGATTTGGTCTGCTTTCTTATAGAGCCCAGGACCACCAGCCCAGGGATGGCACCACCCACAACAGGCAGGATCCTCCCACATCAATCACTAGGAAAGAAAATGCCATACAGGTTTGCCTACAGACCAATCTTATGTCGGCATTTTCTCATTTGAGGTTCCCTTTTTCCCAATGACTGTTCTGTGTCATATTGATGTAAAACTAGTAGTAAGTAGGATGAGGTAATTATTAACTTGCCAACCCTACTATGTATAATTGACTTGATTTGACAATATAAAAAGATAGATGTATTGACTTTATCTCTATGAGTGAAGCTGTATGGATATTTTATATATTTTTCAGCAAACTGCCTATTCACATAATTTCGCTATAGTCATTTCAAATTGTATATGTACTTAAATTTATGTAAATTAATTAATTATAAAATATCAGATCAATTTTTCTTGGCTATCCACTTGAACATATTTAAATAATGGCGGTCTTTCATAAATTTTTATAGTCAAGTGTATCAATTTTTTTCTTTGTGCCTTTTGCGTTTGTCTTTTAATTTCAAATTTGCTTTTAAAAACATGTGCTTACATGTTTAAATTAAAAGCTTTTTTATAGAAAGAAGTTTCTATTAATTAGTCATTCAAAAAGCATTCATTTATTCTGGTTGGGAGGGTGCAAGAATGTCACCACGTCCATCTGGAGGTCAGAGGACAGTGTGTTGGAGTTAG